CAATAATATTCGAGTGTTGCCTAGTCTATGAAATGTTTTTACCATTTTTTAATGTCATGATCAACCACAAAGGTTAATCTGTATAGGGGTTTTAAACAGTCTAATTTTACAGATTTTACCCAACCTATAGAGTTAAACCGTTTTAAGAGTTAGGGTTGAACTACATCTGGCAGCATGAAATTGCACTTTCCTGTGCTTCTATCCTTTTTGGTCACTCAGAACCGTTATAGTAGTAACCGGTATAGTTCCACCCTCAAAAAGCCGATTGTAAACCGGTTTTAAAAGTTTATCTATCATTCTTGACAATTCATACTAATATAATATTATAAATGTGAAAGTGTGATTTTTCTGTTTATTTGTTTTTGTCCTTCCTTCACGCAGCAACGGAACGGAGCAATTTAAAAAAATTAAACATTATGCTATCTCTTGGCTGAAGTTTACGCTTAACCAAACTTACTTTTTTTCGTCATTTTACTTAGGATTGAAAAATAATTTAATGTCTTCGTAAAAAGCGGCAATATTTTGTGTTCTACAGTACAACAGTGTAGTACTCTGTATATATTTAGTAATAATAGATTATAAATATATGTTACATACATAAATATCTACTGTGCTTTTTTATTTATTTTAACTGTTACATTAATTATAGGTTTTATTACATATCTTCAATATTTTAGTGCGATGTTCGTACCTACATAAAACACACATAAGCAACCATATCCCCATACACACACACACAAATGCACACGCCACGCACACACATTTTATACGCATCAAAAACACATATCAAAAATCAGGCAATCATTTCAAAAATTCGCGCCAATGTGAACACCTTTACAGTGGTAGAGGCACGCGGCAGCTTTTGGTGTCGCACGGGTGGGCCGGCTCGAACCGGGGTGGTACCACGACCTCACAGAATATCAGCGTGAAGTAGAGGTTTACCTCTGCGTTGCGCTTGGTGAGTGCAAGTGGCCGGAGGCCCAATTCCCCCCCCCCCCCCCCCATCAACATGGTAGCGGAATTAAATCAGACTACTCCAGGAGGGTAACCGCGAATCAGGCGTCCTCTCCGGCTGATACTTCATATCTCTCCTACCCGTGGTACAAATTAGAACATTCCTTTGTGCCCCGGGCTGGAGTTTGCGTATACGTCAGAGAGGACATCTGTTTTCGACGCATCGGCAGTCTTGAAGGTACGGACCTGTGCATCTTATGGCTGCGCGTAGACAGCGACAACCATCCCCGCGTCTACGGGTGCCTCTATAGCTTCCATAGCGGTAATGCTGACACAGAGCGACTCATCGACCACGTCCAAATGGCTGCAGACTCCGTGCTACAACAGGTCCCATCCGCAGAGATCGTGATACTCGGTGATTTTAACGCCCACCACGCTGAATGGCTTGGTTCCCGTTTAACCGATCATTCGGGTAAATTTGTCATGACTTTGCCTTGGCATATGGTCTAACACAACTGGTTACTTCGCCTACGCGGATCCCAAATGTGGAGGGTCATGTACCTTCCCTGTTGGGCCTTCTGCTGACCTCTCATCCGGACGGATATAGGTCTCCGTCGATGCCCCTCTGGGCTCTTCGTACCATTGTCTGATCCGGAGTACGGTGCCACTCACGATCCCATCGCAGGTGCGATCTGCAGCTTGCCGCCGCGTTTGGCACTATAGGTCGGCCGATTGGGGCGGGATGCGGTCTTTTTTTGCATCCTACCCTTGGGGACGGGTTTGCTTCTCGCCGGAAGATCCCAGCGTTGTTGCCGATTCTATTGCTGATGTGGTACCTCAGGGTATGGAACTTTTTATTCCTTCCTCTGTGGTGTCCATCGGAGGCAGATCCCAGCCATGGTTTGGTCGCTCCTGTAAAATAGCATCACGCTATAAGCAGGAGTGCTACCGGGCCTGGGCTAGGCGTAGTCCCGAATTCATGGAAGACAGCTTTGGTCCACCCGTACCCTAAAAAAGGCGACCGCTCAGACCTGACCAACTACAGGCCTATCGCCATCACTTCCTTGTTATCCAAAATAATGGAATCCATTAAAAACTGCCAGCTCATGCGGTACCTTGAGGACCATCAGCTGATTAGTGACCGCCAGTACGGTTTTCGTCGGGGTCGATCAGCTGGTGATCTTCTGGTCTACCTGACTCACAGATGGGCGGAGGCAGTAGGGTCCAAGGGGGAGGCATTGACCGTTAGTTTGGACATAGCGAAGGCCTTCGATTGGGTCTGGCACAAAGAGCTTCTTTCGAAGCTTCCTTCCTACGGGCTTCCCGAGAAATTGTGCAAATGGATCACCAGTCGTAGTAGACGGTGCATGCCCTGATCTCAAGCCTATCAACGCTAGTGTTCCACAAGGCTGCGTGCCAACACCAACGCTGTTTCTCCTGCATATCAATGATATGTTGCAAACTGGTAACTTTCATTGCTTTGCAGACGATAGCACTGGTGATGCCTTATATACCGGCCGTGCCAATATTTCTCGGGAAAACGTCGTCGAATACTGGGACAAATTTGTGTCTGAAGTCGAGTCTGTGCTGAACAAAGTCTCGGATTGGGGGCGACTAAATCTAGTTCAGTGCAATCCCCAGAAGACACAAGTTTGCGCGTTTACCGCTAAAAAGAACCCTTTTGTCGTATCTCCTCAGTTTCAAGGCACTCCCCTTGCTGCCTCAGCTAGCGTCGGAATCCTCGGCGTCAACATAACGAATAGTGTGTAGTTTCGTGGTCACTTGGAAGGGAAAGCCAAATTGGCCTCTAAAAAGCTTGGCGTGCTCAGCAGAGCGAGACAGTATTTCATGCCGGCATATTGCTTTCAACTTTACAAAGCGCAAATCTGTCCTCACATGGAATATTGTTCTCATCTCTGGGCCGGGCCACCCCAGTGCCAGCTCCTTCCACTTGACCGTATCCAGCGCAGAGCGTCGTCGACGACCGAGTACTTTCTGATCGGCTCGATACACTGGCACTGCGTAGGGATGTTGCAACCCTTTGCATTTTCTGTTGAATTTACCACGGGGAGTGCTCTGAGGAATTGTTTGGATTAATCCAGCCGCCAAATTTCACGAACGCACATCGCGTCAAAATTCACGATGCCATCCTCACCATCTGGATGCTTGGCGGTCCATGACTGTGCGTTTCACTAGGAGTTTTCTTCCTCGTACAACTTCTGTATGGAATTGTTTACCACCGGCGATTTTTCCGGACCGATACGACTTAGGGACCTTGAAGAAAAGGGCTTACACCTTTGTTAAAGGCCGGCATCGCATCTGCAATTCCTCTGGTGTTGTGGTTGTTCATGAGCGGCGGTAGTCACTTACCATCAGGTGAGCCGAATGCTCGTTTGCCCCTTCTTCTATAAAAAAAACCTCCATACAAGTTAGCTGACGCAAACGGCGCGAGTGAATCGCGTTCCGCGCCCCGCGCGGTTCTCGACTCAGTTTGAACGAAGAATAAGACGGCACCGATAATAACGCATATTTTGTAGAACTACCCACATCCAAAAAAGAGCATATTATAGTCGAATTGTTAGGTATCTAAATATTCACGTCAGACTAGGCTGTTTGGTCATAGATCCCTTTGCCTTTAAACATACAATTTCTTGAGTTTGAAATTATGAGATAGAGATGGGCAAGTGAAAAAGTATATCGATATTTATCGTATCGATAATTTTAACAGTACCGGTAATTATTAAGTGATAAATATCGATATATCGTCATGTTTTGCATAATTTAGTTATTTTCGGTGAACTTTGCATACTTATTAAAATGCAACTAGCGAAATGATCCTTAGTTTTTAGATGAGCTGCAAAATTTGGTTGTATTACTACACGTTATATAAGATTTCACAAATTGCAAGAAGCTAGCTCATTGCTGCCTTCTTTTTTGAAGAACTTTGATATTTAAAAAAAACACTGTGTATATGTCATAATCAAAACTCATAACGGCAAAAATCAGTAAAAACAGTTTCGGCCGATTCCCTTAGTCAAAAACAGTTTAGACTGATTTTTGAAGTCAAAATTGGTTTTCTCTGATTTAAAGTTCAGACTATTGGTCAAAACTCGCAATTAAACATGGGACGAGTACTCGGTTTGGATTCGGTACTCGGCGGATTCGGCCTTTTTTTAGGGTTCGGCCGATTACCGAGTATTAACGGCCGAGTACCGAGTACTCGGCCTTAATTATATTCCAGAGAAAAATAGACAAAAAGCCAGTTTTATCATTATTATTATATTAGACACATTAAAACATCAGGAATTTGAGAAGCAGCAGAAATATTTAGAATGTACATAAGGATCTTTAATAGAAATTATTATTACTAATATTTAAAATTTAAGAGTGTAAGATTGTGATGCAAAAACTAGTTTTTCGGTCCTATTTGGGTCTTGTTTGTAAGGGAAATAACCGCACGCCGCCCGTTACCGCGTTTTTTAAGGCCGAGTATTCGGCAGAGTACTCGGCCTTAAAAAACTGCGTACATTATAATGATATAAAATATTATATTGAAAGAACTGAACTTCCTGATTTTAAAAATTCAAAAAGTATAAGTCAAAAGTAGTTTTGACTAACATTCTTAGGCATAACTTTTGACCGATGTAATTTGGTCATTACACAATTTTTTGTAGTTAAAAGTTGTGTTGTCCAACGTCCTTAGTCAAAACTACTTTTGCCTAATTTTTGCAGTCCAAAGTGGTTTTGACTGTAACATATACATAATATGTGTATATACTATATTCTGTAACATATTATATTCGATTTGGTGAAACTTGTGACGGGATTTTTTAAATAAAAGATGCGCGCGACGAATTTAAGCAGTATCTAGTTACATTAAATACGAAACAAGAATTGCATTATAAAATATTATATCAAAAGTGATACGAATTCGATACTCTAAATATATCTAAAATCGAAAATATAAAATATCATATCGCGATTAAAAATTTAAAAATATCGACGGGACAAAATATCGATATTTTTAAATAAATTTGTTGTTATATGATGCTTGTTGCTGTTGTTCTTTGCGAGACAGCTGATTAAATTAAACAATAAGTTGAACAGCAATACATAATGTTCAAATACTTCAAGTATTCAGTTAAAACAACTCCTATGATATCACGGAATTGCAGTAATAAAAATTCCAGCAATGATGGCTTAAATTATTGCGCTAATATAGTTAGGTAAGTTTGTGTTTCTATGATCGTTAGTTTTGTGAACAACATTTTTTACTACTATCAACTTCTTAAGACTTTCTCTGGTACTTTGCTCTATTGTTACAGATAGACAGCACGACTACGAAAATTTCTTAGCAACCCTTCTTATGACGAAAGCTATTCGTTCTCCAACTCTAGTTGTGAGGGCATTCAATGTAGAAGTAGCAAGAGTGCAAGATCAAACTAGTGATTTGCAAACGGCTGCTTTTAGAGTACAATTTTGGCTTGATACCCTTAATTATATATATAAGAAGGATCAATCTATAAGCAAAATTCCTGCTAACCCTATTGCGAGGGAACTGTTTAAGGTAACATAATTTTATTTATTGTACTTACATAATTGTATACAATAATAATCACAAATTTTTTTCTCTTAAGATACTTCTAGGAATTTAGGACTTTTATCAATAAGGTTCACAGAAACAAAAATAGAAACAGAAACTTTTCTATTCAACATAGATTATAAATAATTCTTATAAAATTTATTATTATTGTCACACTTTTGTTTAATTATCACTGATTCGGAAAAAGCCTCTACCCTGGGTTAGAACCAGCAAGAAACCCAGTAGGACTATAAAATAAATAACAGCTTACCATCATGTATGTTGCACAATTGACAACACAAAACAAATTAGAAATAGCTTGTCAGCGATCACCTCATTCCCAGAGTTTATACATCATTACAGCCCCTCACAAGTCAACTGCTGAACATAGGCCTCCCCCAAGGAATGCCACAAAGCACGGTCCTGAGCCACCTGCATCCATCGACTTCCTGCATGTCTCACCAGGTCGTCACTTCATCTAGTGGGGGGTCGTCCTACACTTCGCCTACCGGTACAAGGCTGCCACTCAAGAACCTTTCTTCCCCATCGGTTGTCGGTTCTTCGAGCTATATGGCCGGCCCACCGCCACTTCAGCTTACTAATCCGTTGGGCTATGTCGGTTACTCTGGTTCTACTGCGGATATCTTCATTTCTAAGTTTATCACACAGAGAAACCCCAAGCATAGCCCTCTCCATAGCTTGCTGAGTGACTTTGAGCTTCCTCATACAGCCAGCAGTGAAGGACCACGGCTCAGATCCGTAAGTCATCACTGGCAACACGCACTGGTTGTACAATTTTGTTTTCAGGTTTTGAGGTATGTCTAACGAGAAAATGTGTCGTAGTTTCCCAAACGCTGACCAGCCGAGTTGAATCCGTCGATTGACCTCTCGGTCAAAGTTGGACTTACCTAGTAGGACTATTTGTCCCAGGTAAACATACTCGTCAACAACTTCGAGCTTAGTGCTCCCAACAACTACCGGCATAGGTGTGACATGAACGTTAAACATGATTTTTGTTTTGTCCGTGTTCATCTTAAGACCTAACCTTTGGGAGAAACTATTGAGGTCATTAAGCATAGTGCTTAGATCCTCCAGCGATTCTGCCATAAGGGCTATATCGTCGGCAAATCGAAGGTGAGTGATGTACTGTACATCAATGGCGGATGTTAATACCGTATCCTTTCCAGTCCAGTAGCTTGAAAACGTCTTCCCATGCAGTGGTTATAGTGGATATAACGTCACCCTGTCTTACACCTCTCTGCAGTTGGATAAGTTTCGTACTCTGATTCTGTACTCGGATAGCCATCGTAGCTCTACTGTACAAACACTTCAGCACTGCGATATACCGACAGTCAACTTAACACCCCTGAAGGGACTGCAGCACCGCCCAAATTTCGATGGAATCAAAGGCTTTCTCATAGTCCACATACGCAAGGCAAAGTGGCAGATTATACTCCTCTGTCTTCTGTACAATCTGCCGGAGGGTATGTATGTGGTCCATGGTACTAAATCGTTTTCGGAAAACAGCTTGTTGGGGAGGCTGGAAGTTGTCAAGTCTGCGTGCGAGATGATTAGTAATGACTCTCGAAAACAACACGTAGACGTGGCTCAGAAGGGAAATCGGTCTGTAGTTCTTCAAGAGAGCGTTGTCGCCTATCTTGAAGAACAAGACCACCGCAATTCTGCTCCACGCCTCCGGAGTAGTGCCACCATGGAGGACGGAATTAAAGAGCTTCTGAAGAACTTCAAGTACCGGTTTTCCACCCGCTTTCAAAAGCTCCGTTGTAATTCCATCCTCGCTCGGGGACTTGCCGTTTTTAAGGTGCTGGAGAGCCATTCTAATCTCGCTCAGACTGACTTCCGGGATACCTTCGGAATAGTGTCGGATAAGACTCGCTCTTGGATCGTTACTCACACTTGCGTGTGCTCCAACGATGACGTGTATAGCTGCCCGTAGAACCTCTCACGCAAACCTCTTACGCCACCCTCGTCGACACACTCTCAATCTTTACAACGTTGTTAACGAGAGACTTGTGGACGATAAATCTGACACCACCTTGGGACAGATGGTCGCCCTCCCGGTGATAGAGCAAGTTGCCGAATTCGAGGATTACCGTGTCCTCCCCCTCTCTTCGGACCTCGGATCTATCTCTTCTTCCAGCTCCACGATCTCGTCAGTGCTCAGGGTGCGTGCGTTGTATGTTGCCAGGTCAAGTCGTTTTAGGTGGCAACCGAACCTCCACCGGAGATTCTTAGCACCCCCTGCCCCGCCGTTACCATGGTCGCCACCGTAGCCTGGAATAGCGGGGCCGCCGGGGACTGGGGGCCGTCTCTTTGTTGCTCTAATCATTGGCGGGTATTTGCCATAGTTGCCACGCTTGGCGAGCGGGTTGGCAACCGCAGTTTTTTTTATTGTACTTTTGCTGTTATCAGGAAGATGCTGCTGCCCATCTCCTGCCTGTTTCCCTTTGTCGCCTTTTACGACACCCACGGGACGATATGGGGTAGTGGATATTCTTAACCGCCACTACATGGTATTGTTATCATCTATAAATTCCTTAATATTATAATAACTCTTTTTATACAAACTTTGTTTCATAAAGTTTTGGAACTTTGAGGAAGTCAAATTTCATATATTTGTTGGGACTTTGCTATAAAAACATATTACACATCGCCCCAAGAATGAATTACTGACTCTGTGGAGTTGTCTCTGTTCCTAGTATTTACAGAATGAATATCACTTATTTTTGTAAAACTACTTTTGTCTTTGTGTACCTGCATTACACCTTGGATAAGTCACAGACTATACCCAAAGCATTTCTGTGATTTCTCTCATGCATTTAAGATATATATAATCAGCTGAACACCAACATCAGTTGTCTAGTGACCCCTTCTGAAATCGAATTAATTTTCATGAAGTAAATTATTTACATTAAAAAAATGTGACATTGGATCAAAAATAATTTTTTCAATAATTTTACTAAATTTTGGCAGTACATAAATAAGTTTAAAAATGGTAGGGTCTAATGTACTACCAGATTGACCGCTCCGTGGCGCAGTGACTTAACAATGAATTGCTGCGCTGGGGGCCGCGGGTTTGAATCCCGCACGGAACAAGTATTTGTATGGCCTACAAGTAATTGTTCCGGTCTGGATGTTTGTCCTCGTGCAATTTGTATTTGTAAACTGCCTCCACGATACAGGAGAAAATCCTAGAGTGGGGGTAACGTTTTTTAAGAAAAAAAAAAGATTTAGGTAAAGGTACTTCACTATACTTCATGGAATAAGGAAACAAATTAGATTCGATTCTAGTGTTAAAAATAATAGCTAGTTAAGGTACGATTGTATATATTATAGATGCAATAACTTTAACGAAAATCCCCCACAGATCTGCAGTTTTCTTAATATCAATAGTATTAAAATATTTAACAATATCTTTTGATGATACTTTATGAAATGCAAAATTCTTTGTATATGCATTTACATTTTGTTTAAGTAATAATTTGGCGACGGCAAGAGAAGAATTCAGTGACTTAGTAGTTAAGATTGGAATATCAGCAAAGTATTCCTTAAGAACTATTGCAACATCCTGATCTGATTCAGTTAATTTGATGTTAAAACTTAACTGAAAGTTTAAATTGCGAGAGTTGACCTTACCAGTAGCACTATTAATTATACTGCATTTCATTTTAATTTTATTATAAGCTGTTTTAATTTTATTGCTCAAGTGCAAAGACTTGGCTGTGAAGCACACTCTTTTAAACATTTTTTACATATTCCCTAAATTTAACACTCAGATTACATGATCTTTCATGGTAAAGTTCATATAACCTTTGTCTGCTCTTATGGACTCCTACTGTCACCCATTGAATGCCTTCCAACTGTTCAAGGAAAATATTTTAGAAGTAAAAGTATTATCAAATTAATTGGAAATATGCGTAAATAATGTTCCATACAAAAAATCTGGATTTCTTTTGATTTGAAAGTGATGAAAGTTTTTTCACTGTGTTACTTCTAAACTTCCCCAAGCGACGTGCTTACTGGAACATACACAATTTCCTCATCTACTTGCTTTTTGTGAACATAAGGTAACGAAACTTAACATTTGTAAAAATGTTATATATATATACATGTAGATTCAGCAATACATACATACATAAACACACGACTGTCACCCAGGGGGGTAGGCAGAGACTACGGACTTCCATTTGGCGTGATCCTGACACACCTATCTCGCCTCTTTTACATCCATATATCTACGCTCGTCGGTTAAGTGTACTCCTACTCTCAGTGGCGGCCTTAGGTGGTGACGAACAGGGCAATCGCCCGGGGCCTCGCTCTTGCAGGGGCCTCGCGCAACAACCCAAGCAAATTTAAAAAAATATAAATTTGTTAACTATATTTTTTTATTAAATACTTTTGATTTTCATCCTTAATTACTCATTAAGGTTATAACATAACGGTAAATTAAAATAAAGTTTGTTAACTAATTAATTAATTCAAAACATAATTGAAAAATTAATTATGTAGTACTTGAATATCGCGCCTCGAAACACTTGAAGATCGGTTTTTTAATCGCATAGCACTCGGGTCAGCTCGGGAGTCGGGACATAATGTTCTGGGGGCCTACTACGAAGTGTTTATAAAACTTGGCAAGTTCCGAGCAGTTCAGTTTCTGACCTTAAACTGAAATGCTTTATTTGGTACTATGAACTACGCTTAGCTCAACTGTTTTAAACCCATATAACGGCTTTGCTCACGGGTTAGCGTTGTCTCTGTCTTGTTTTGGCTAACCGTTCGAGTGAGAGGACGCTATACAAATGTTATATAAGTTTATCTCTTTAATTTTAAGGCCTGTCTGAAAGTGAAACCTATATTATTGTAGTTTTTTAATACTTAATAAATTAACAATGTCTTAAATTATTACCATTTGAAATGAGTTAGTAATATGCTTTTAAGATATTCAAACATAACAAAAACCTTTTTTTGTTTCTACGGGTTTTGTTTATTAATTTACGATGACGACGAGGAACTAAAGTGGCTTTTTGAATATGTGTTTTCAATTTGAGATGTGATTGATGGTGTTAAGTCACTTAAGTCGAGGCGAAATTTAGTTTGTGTGCTCTTTTTGAGAATTTATTATAATATGTTTGTGTGTCAAGTGGATAATAAATTAGTTACCATGTCCATTTTAAATGTAAGCACCCTTCGAACCTTAATATTTTAATGGAATTGTGTGGTTTCGTTAAGATTAAAGGCGAAATGTGATTTCATTACTAAAGAAGCAAGGGCTGAAGTACAACGTCGTCATCGCGTAACATACTCTCAATTAGAAATCCTATGGGAGTTTTTAAATTCCAATAGGGATGTTGCAGTGGGCTAAAGTGCACAAGCTCGAGAAACTTCCCGCCGCATGTGGGAGGAGGTAGCCCAAACCCTCAATTCATTTGGAGATGGTGCCGTTAAGGACGGAAAAGGCTGGTCTGCCGTAAGTATTATATGAGTAAATATTTATCATTGTAAATTTTTTTCTGTCTATGGACTGTTGAAGTTGAAAACGCATATTATTTATATGAATATTCAAAATAGCTTTCATTTTTTCAGTACTGGATTGATTACAAGGGGAAGCTGAAGAAGCGGTGTGCTACTATTAGATCTGCGCAATCTCGAACTGATGGAGAGCCATCTAATGTTCCACAGCTGTCGACTTTAGAAAAGAAGTTTTTAAATATTGTAGGTGAAGATTTTGGTTTGGGCCTTCCTGGTATTCGTGTAAATCCATTTGAAGATTCAAATATTCATGTAAGTTTTTTCTTGTATCTCATTAAACCATGGGGTGGCCAAAGTTTTAATTTTATTTGACTTAAGCTAAGATATCTATCTTCGCGATAACTTATTTAGTTAAGTATTTGTAGATATATTGATTAAATTTTGTGCAATGTACACAAATTCCGCTACATGCATTTTGTAGCGACAAAAGAGTTTAATTCGTAATGATAATTGCCTCATCACATTTTATATTATTTACAGGCTGCATCGACTTCAGATATGTCCCAAATACCTCTACAGGAGGTCCAACAGTCCTTGGAACAAGAATTTGTTCTTAATACCATTGAAATCATTGAAGGTGTTAATCTCAGGAGTTCACTGGTTCAAGAGCAACAACAGCTAGAGACTGAAAGTGAACCACCAGTACTTGTAGACGTACATGCTCCTGAGCCTTGTATATCTCATACTGCACCTACAAGTACTCCAGAGGCACATCCCACACAAGCGGTTTCTGTTGCACCAACTGGAGGTGAACAACAACAAAGAAGACGACGCAATCGACGTGTGCGTATTACTCAGGAAGAATCAAGAAGAGCCTTGGTTGAAACGTCCCAAATGCGGGCTGAAACGGAGGCTCGTAATAGCCGCAATATGACGGAGTTCGTGCAAGTTTTTCATCGAATTCAAGCTGTTTTGGAACGCATTGAGAGAAAGTTGCTTAGAAATATTTATGTTGTACATAGAATAAATTAAGTTAAGGGTAAATCAGTACTAAGAATTTCAATTAACAGTTTCACTGCTGACAGGGATCGAACCCAAATTGTTTGCATACATATTGTGAAATATTCGGCAAGCGCTTAGTCTCAGAGCTATTAAGGCTCTACAATTTTTAACTGATTTCTTAAATGGTTATAAATTTGCACTGTTTGATTATTATTATAAATTACGATAGCAAAATAAATGCGAGAATAAGTCCAAAATCTCCACATAGATATAAAAAAGTAGAAAGGGTTTTTAGTTTGTATAATATTTAAATTTTTTAAAATAGTAATAATATTAATATATTTATTTGTTGATCATAATTCATAAGTATGTCATAAAAGATGTTAAAAATTGCGTTATGTCCTATATGATCTATCATTTATTGGCATAAAAATATCTAAGTAGAATAAATTGTTCGAATAATTGCATAGATTATACGTAGGTCACTCAATACGTTTTGAGATATACAAAAAGTATTCTAGATACTATTAATATTTATTTTACATCTTTTCAAAATATTCTCTATAAATGTAATAGAGAAATTTAAACAATAACACCATAGTTTTAAAATCAATTTTATTATCAGGTTGCCCTCCGACATATCCATGGGTGATTGATAAGGTTACTTGTGACCGTTATGCCTTCTCGGAGCTCTGGATTTTGTGCGGCCCTAGAATTTACTGCAGAATCTTGGCAGGGAGAAGTTAATCGTTGCGATTCATGCTCATACAAAGCTGCCTCTGGCTGCAGCTCTTCTACACTGACATTAGTCTTATTGCATATGTTGCGCAATATCACACATGCATTTATAATAGAAGCCACCATGTGAGGCTCATAATGTAACACTATGCACTAGGAGACATCTGAAACATGGCAATTATGTATATGATGTACCTATCTATTTATTATTATGTAAAGTCATTACCAAGAAGCATATCGTCTCGTTTGTGCCGAGGCCTTCCATGTGTGCCTTCAAAGGGTGATTAGCCCATATAAAAGCATCATGTGAAGCTCCCCAAACTTGTGTCTACACTGATTATATCCATGTCTATATTGCATATCTAAAATATTAATTCAAATATATACTTAGTGTTTAAATGATTTATGTATCAATAAAATTACATTATTGAATTTGTGGTTTTATTACAATATTTCTTACCAACTGCACATTTAAAGAATGATAGGTACTGTTTTGTACAGTAATGTCTCTCTTCATTTTGTGAAGGACGGACCATTGCCACATATGTAAAATCATTACAGCCTAAATTTCCAGGCATCTCAAATTTGTTGTAAAATCTACAATGTCATATTAATTCTAAATCTTTGCTGAGCTTGCTGCATGATATAATGGTAGATATTATTAATGTCCAATGGTTCTAATAATAGAAGTTGTTGTTATAATCAATTAAAATTATGTATTAAATTTGTACTTATATGTACAGCAAGCAGCTCTTGGAAATCATATATATATATATATTGTTCTCAATGGGAGCATACCATAGAGAGACAGTGCAATTAAGACCTAAAAATAATTGTAAAAACTGTAAAAAAATATAAAAAATATTCAGTGCGAATTTTTGCTAAAACTGCATTAAATACACATCACTTTTAGCTTTTAGTAATGTTTTACTAGTAATGAATTCTTTAATTAATACTCAACCTTGGTTTCGATCGACTAATCAGTAAACTTAGCAGGCTTTGTCATACAAGTTCTTAAATCATCACAAAGTTCCAACACTAAGTTTTTGCTTAAACTATATCGTTTTACAAATTCACCGTCACCGATCGAAAACGGGTCGATTTAGCTCCGTAATATTGTTCTTTCAATTTTGTCCTCCACAATTTTGCTTTCATTGTACTCTTTGAGGAACTCAAAAGTTTCGTAATCATTAGATACTGAAATTAATGAACAAAGAACAATTAGAGAATTTTAATATGTGTATTATGTAAATAATATAACAATTTTAAAGCAAGAAACCCAATTAAGCATGTATAACTTCAAGAAACACTTTTAATACTTACTATTATACTATTAGAATATTTAACAATTCAGAAAAAGCTCCCACCAAGGAACTTTTATTGAAGTGTTTAATATGACAGATACACTGTTCAATAAACGGGTCACAACTCTGTTACAAACGTCAAAAGTGAGTTCATAGTACCGATTTAAAACGTTGAGCTAGCTTGCCGGCCACTGAAATGTTTCGTTACGTCATCACAGGTTGGCCTGCAATAAGACGCGTTCGTAGTACGACAAAGCAAGGCAATTCAGTTTACGGTCTTAAACTGACCGGCAATAAGACTTCGTAGTAGGCCCCCTGTTCCTCTATCGCTCAGGGAATCCCCGTGTTTCATTTCGTTCGTCAACTCCTATCACCTTGGAATTAGTTTGCTTGCAATATACAAACAAAATAGTTATAAAATCGTTACTGTACCGTACATATCGTTAAATTTTATTGAATATTACTTTCTTATAGTATTTAAATTATTGAGTGAGCTGGAAAAGTGTAAATTATAGTATTTGAAGTATTGACTAAGTTGAAAAAGTGTAAAAAAACTGTGTGATACTTAAAAAATATTTCTGACTGTTTGTGCGAAACAAAACAAGGTTTACGAAATGAGTTCGCGTGATCGTGATGTCGGTAGAAAATTTGAGTCAGGTAGTTCAAAAAGGAAACGAGCTGTCAAAAGAAAGCCGGTAAAAGAAAATCTACGTGGATATTTATATAAATATATAAAAAGAGATGGTCACGAAACCTCTACAAAACATTTATTGACTGAAAGTGACTCTAATCCTGATCCAGCTGAAAACATTCCTTCCACATCATCATGTGTGCCGCCGCCGACAATAAGTAAAAACAGTGAGGATGATGATGAATTAACTACATCATTGTCTCTTAGGTCACCGGTGCCGCCGTCAACGCTATTCCGTCAAGAACACGAATCTGAGCCTGAGTCTATGTCTACATCCCTGATTGCTGAAATGGAAAATCTGCATCCTCTAAATGACCCCGGTTTTTGGCCTAAAACAATTACTGATTTAGATCAAACTGAGATTGTATTAAAAGGTCCAATCCGGGTTAAAGTTGATTTATTTCCCGTAAATGATAATGGACGGCGATTCAGCGAATATCATTATAATTAGATATTAGCTAACGGTGAAAAGCTTGACAGACGCTGGATGATTTATTCACAAACAAAGGATGCCGTTTACTGCTTTCCGTGTCGAATATTCGGGCTAGAAAATACAAAGATTGGATCAAGTGAAGGAGTGTGTGATTGGAAACACTTGGGTGATTACCTAAAGTCTCACGAATCTAGTCGACAGCACAAAAATTGTATGTTGAAATGGATTAATCTAGAGAATGGTTTAAAAAGCTGTTCTACTATTGACTTCTTGGCCCAGTCACAAATTGAACAAGAAAGGCAACGTTGGAGAGATATTTTAGAACGATTGCTCGCAATTGTAAATTTTTTAGCATCTCACAATTTGGCATTCAGGGGCCATAGAGAGAAATTAACATCTGACTCAGATTCAAGTGAGACAAGCGACAACTTTATAGATTTAGTAAAGTTAATAGCCCGATTTGATCCCGTGATGAGACTTCACCTAAAACAAGTAAAGGATAAGACGATTAATGACAATTAATGAGGAAAAAATACTCAAAACGAGCTCATACAATTAATGGCAAGTCACGTGAAGACCCAAATTGTTGAAAAAATAATAAATAATAAATATTACTCGATTATTCTTGATTGTACTCGCGACGTTTCTCGTGTTGAGCAACTTTCAATTATTATAAGATTTTTTAATACAAATACAGCTGAAATTGAAGAACATTTTATTGGTTTCTTAGCTGTCGAAAAAACCACAGCTGAAAGTTTGACTAATTACATAATCACAGAATTAGAACAGTTAGGTATATCATTGCTAAACTGCAGAGGTCAAGGATATGATAATGGTGCCAATTATGTGTGGTGAAAAAAGTGGTGTACAAAAACGTATTCTTGAAATTAATCCACTTGCTTATTTTTTACCTTGCGGGAGTCATAACTGGAATCTCATCCTAGGAGATGCAGCATCGTCTTGTGTCCAAGCGAAATCTTTTTTTGGTTTGCTACAAAGGTTGTACACTCTGTTTGCAGGCTCAAGTCAGAGGTGGGCTATTTTAAATGCTCATGTAAAATCGTTATCGCTAAAACCACTTTCTGAAACTAGGTGGGAGTGCAGGGTAGCATCAGTGAAGGCCGTTAAATACCAACTAAGCGATATATGTGATGCTTTAAAGGATTTAGCAGAAAATACAACAGATTGTCAGTTGGTCAGTGAATGCCATTCTATAGAAAACGAAATAACTACCTACGAATTTGTAGTTTCACTAGTCATATGGTATGATTTTCTAACAAAGATAAATGTTATAAGTAAAATGTGGCAAAACGAACACATGCACTTAGATGTGGCTATACAACACCTAGACGCATTCACAAATTGGCTCGATAATTATCGTGAAAATGGTTTTCAGTCATCCCTTGTAACAGCGAGAGAAATAGCCGAGGAAAATGATATTGACAGACAGTTTAAAGAAGTCAGAAGAAGACGTAAAAAAAGGCATTTTGATTAAGAAGGGGAAGATGAAGCTCATGAATTGAATGCGTAACAAATTTTCAAAATAAACTATTTTTATGTCATTGTCGACAATGTGCGCGCAAGCTGCCATCCTAGGTTTGAGGCTCTTAAACATCATGAAAGCATATTTGGTTTCATGTATAATATAAAAAGATTGAAGGAAATGTGTGATAATGAAATTTTGAAGCAATGCAGCGACTTGCAAATATCTATGACAGTAGGAGACTTATGTGATATTGATGGACATGAATTGTACGAAGAACTCAATATGTTCATCCATGTGTATGACGGAAACGACGATATTATCTCGGTGTTGAAATACATAATAGAAAAAAAATTAATTGAAGTTTACCCCACTATCGAAATAGTCCTGAGAATTATTGCTACCACACCTGTTACAATTGCGTCTGCTGAAAGGAGTTTCTCGAGACTTAAAATTATTAAAACATATTTGAGGAATTCGATGACACAAGATCGGCTTTCAGCCCTTGCTATTCTTTCAATCGAAAATGATGTAGCTCATTCGTTAGATTATCGTGCTTTAATTAAAGATTTTAGTCTTAGGAAAAGCCGCTAACATCAATTTTAAAATTTATCATCTCTGTATTTGTTAATTTTGTAAATTTTTCAATGTAAAATATTTTAAAACTCATTTTATTTATTTATATAACCTTAGTATTTCTCCTCAAACATGACAAATACCTAAACCAAACAACCAGACCTACTTTCGCATCACATACTCACGAAGGACAAAGGGCCTCGCAAAGACCTGCCGCCCGGAGCCTCGCAATGGGTAAGGCCGCCTCTGCCTACTCTGGCCCATTTTTAATGTATCGCCGGTTTGGTCGATAAACTTTCGTCTAGGGCGTCCCTTGCCGACCCTGCCGTTCCCTTCTGCAACATAAACAAATTCAGCAATATGTTTTGGCTCTAAAAATAAATTAAAAAGACCATAAGATTTAAACAATGGTCTAAATTTAATATTGGTGGAGGAAGCTTCTAGGAGATTGATATTAAAGTCTTCCACATACTACAACAGATGTTTATTGTTTATTAAGCTTAACAAGAACTTCCTACATAATTTTTTCAAAAGTATCAGATACTACTGGGGTCTGTAGATGCTCACAACAATGAGGTGCGCATACACAACACATTCTATTTTTACCTCTCGCTCAACAGAGGCTTACAATATCTTTACGTTCTTTACATGAAAATAATTTACTAACTAATATAATATAATTTCAGGTATGTAAATGTTACAGTCTGCCAAGGAGGCATTTAGAGAAACTGGTGTCATCTAGAAGTAACTTATTAAAATCAAAGTATTTTAGAACATTAGAAGATATAGAAAAATATGCTGATGACACAGTTTCCTCAGTCTATTACTTGTTACTGAGTGTTGCTGGCGTAACAGACATACATGCAGACCATGCTGCCTCTCATTTAGGAAAATCTCAAGGACTAACTAATATTTTAAGGTATGTAAAAGAGTCACTATTTGA